ACAACAAATTGTTTGGCTTCAAATTATACCTTTGTAAATGTGGTTCCCTGATTTTTCAACAGGAAACAGGAGTGTTTCCTTATCATCATCCATTGCAAGTCGGCAGACATTTTCCTGTCCAGAGTAAAAAAAAATAATTTTCTCTCAGTTAATTTGGTAAAAAGAAGCACAGGGCATGACAAACTTTCCACTCGTAAAAACAAACTTCAAAATAAAATTTCCCAACTTTGCACCATGCTTAAATAAAACTTGTTAACATATACCCGTGTCATCTATTTTGCACATTGAGGGTGGACCCTTCCATTAGAAGACACACTGGTAGCATGTTAATCAGAGAAGGGAGAACATTTACAACAAAGAATCTTATAACTGTATCTCTAAGGCTTACACAATATTTCATTCTGAGAGGAAGATTATTTTCCTGATACCAAATAACATGCAGCTGTTGCTCAAGGAGTCATATTAAGCATTTAGAAAGTTGATAACTGGTTGCAATGGACTCTCCAAAGTCCCTACACTGTTCATTTTTCTTTAAATAAAATAGCTCCAAAGCAGTGGTACAAATATGCTCTCTCTAATTATTTAAATTCTACAAAATTATCGAAATACTCCCCGTTCTCTCAACGAGGCAGTCTAAATCCTAGACGGGTATCTTCAGTGGTTTTCCATTCAAGAAAAAATAGATCAAACGACTTCTCCTACGTTTTCAATACGATATGAATTCATTCTTCAAGCACAAGAACTTCGATAAAAGCCTTGCTTCAGAAGTTTCACTTTGAGTTTGAGTTAATTCCTGAATAGTAGGATCAAGTTCCCTGGTCAGAATTTCAGGAGGAAGATAGAGAAAACCTGGAAACTAAAATAGAGGAGTTTTATGCACAGAAACTTCCAAATGTCAGCAGTATCTAGGCGAAATAAAACTAAGAGTAAATTCGTAAACGAATAGTAGAAAGTCGAAAGAAAAACCAGGACTTTGTCACAAGAAACGGAAGATCAACGCGTTGGGATGCACTTAAATCTAAATTTAAGAAAATTTTTTAGTTTTTAATCGAGTTCCATAGATCGGAGGAGATATGAAAACCTGTAAAAACGCCAAAAAATCTACTAAGAATTTCGCCTTACCACTCAGAAATGGCGACCACGAGAGAGAGAAAGATAAAAGCGCATGTTCCAAACAGTGCAGGGGGTCCTACAGAGCCCCAGGCTCTCACGGCTTATTTTATTCCAACATGGCGGACACAGCTGATCGAATATAAGCAAACTTCTGTCGAGAAAGTATTGGGAGTTTCGGGATGGGAAGAACCGTTATTATCGAAGAATGTGTTGAAAATTATATATCTTCTCTTTACGGTAGCCATAAATGGCAAATCGGTCTGATAGTCGGACAGGTAAAGTTAAACTGAATACCCTTAGCTAACTCGGGCTCATAATTTCGTCTTTTCGGTGCAAGTTTTATTTAAGCGTCCGTTCCTTTCTCAGCTTTCTTCTCAAAGAGACTATATCCTTCATTTGGCCAGGACACCAGACCAGTCAGGAAATTCAGGTATAGATTTAACACCTAGGATCGACGATTTTTTCCAATACTGGGCTTTAAATGGAAGCTCCCAAATTACCTTTTTTAGTTGTAAATTAACCGGTGTATTGTAACCACTGGAAGACTGTGCCGAGTATGGTCTTTCCGTTCTATTGCCTTTACATTACTTTGCTTTATAAAATAATAAATTACAGACGGAAGTGGTGAGACAGCGGCTTTAGATGACATTGAAAACAGATGGATCATAGAACACGCTCATCAGGTAAATGCGTGAATATTTTTTTTAGTTGTTGATTAGATTTTCCCAATTTTTGCACCCTCCATATTTCTCTTTCCCTCCTCTTTCCCTCTTCTTTCCCTCACCACTGTTATAAACTGTAAGAGGTAATCCATCAGCAGTTAAATAAACAACATGTTTGGTTTATTTTGACAGGTATCAAGAATGCTGACTGGAGGCTTAGATGTGATTGGAGTTTTTGCTTTTGGCCCCATGGACATGCTTACCAAATCCCAGGCAAAGATTCGTCAACTTCTGTTCTCCATTCAGAAGACTGTACAACAAAAATCAGCATCATATTTTGATGACCTCATTCACAGCAGAATCTTGCTCCAAATTTGTTCAGAAACTAAAAAGTATCCTTTTTTGCATTATAATAGATAAAAAATTAATTACTCTGACTAGTTTGTATGACGATCTTCATTAAGCATTTCCACTTGAACTTTAAAACTTTTCATCAACTTTCTAATTTAAATTTCTAACATTTATTTTAATTTTCGTTTTCTCTTCTATCTCTTTTGTGACAGACATGATATGGAACTTGTTCCACCTGATAGTTTGTGCACAAGAAACTGACCCTGACTGTACGTGCATGTTTTTTTTCTTGGGATAGAACTTTTTGGGTCCCAGTGAACAGTTAGGGAAATCTGATGTGATACTGGGAATGACTTATTCTGTTTCACTCATTTCCACTAATCATGAGTCTAATGCATGCTGCATTCCTGGTGACTTCTTGTTACAGAAATCTAATTAAGGTCTAGTAGTGGTAATAGCTGGTTTTGTATGTCCAGATCATTTGGTATACATGAGGCTTTTCCTTGACACATTTGCTTTTAGAATTACTTGTAGGACAATTGATGTATCTGATCAGAGGGTGAGTGTTAACAATTCAAATGAACCCCCTATTATTAGTCGATAATATAATCAACTTGTTCATGTTATCGTTCTATTGTTTATTTGTTTGTTTTGTTAACATCTTAGAGATATCAGCTTACTTATTTGTCTTGTTGCAGGCCACACCAAATCCAGCTGAAGTAAAATATCAGTCATTCTCTCCAAAGTGGATAAAACTGGAGACATCCCTATCATTAACTAATGGATGCTTTGATGTTCCAAGGAAACTTAAGACTTCAAGTCTTCACAAGCAAATAATGGTATGAAATCAGTAGATTAAAAGACAGAGCCATATGGCAGCCCTTTCTGTTATAGCATTGAAACATCTAAGTCTAGAGTTAACTTGGGTGAGGGTCAGTAGACCTGACTCACCTAGCTTCCTTCCAATCACCTTCTCCCTTTCAGGTTTTTGATTGAGAACAGCTGTGGTAGAAGAATAATTCAAACTAATAGGAGAGAATGGTTTACTCATCTGAATAAATTTTGGGAGAAAATAATATTGTGCAAAATCACAGGGGAATTTTCTAATCTTTAATGCCAAATGAACACCCAGCCTTTTGCAAATCAGATGCTCTAACTTGAGTCAAATTCTGTTTCAATTGGCTAAAACTGACTGATTACTAGAGGGAAAGAAATGTTATTGTAGAGGCGAAAACTTAATTGAAGAATGATCCTCATGTATCTTTACAATTTACTCTAATTAAACACAGCTATTCATAAATCAGAGCTGATTTGGAAGGGAAATGTTTACTGCAACCTTTAAAGGAATTCAGTTTTTTATGTCATCTTTTCCAATGATCTTAACTTTTTCTCTGATTACCAAAATTGTCTGAGTGTACTATAAGCATTGTTGTTAATTTTGTGTCAATCATGTCTTCAGGGTAGCATTCACAAGAAATTGCAGAGTTTATCTAGTGCCTTGTGCACCGTAAATGGAGAGCTTTATGCTGATGATCAGACCCTTGTATCAGGAGGAAAGTCAGGAAGATCCAGCCAAGCTAGTTCTAAATCTACACAGACATTTAAAATTGACCTATTTACAGATGAGGTACCAGAGCATTACAACAGTGCAGTTAGACATGTATTCAGTTCAATAGCTAAATATATGTACAGGTTGTTAAGTTCCAAACTTAATGGGAGGATGCTGTGTTATACAAAACAATTATTATTCAGCTCTGTACTGTTTCAGTTGCTAAAAAATCTTGGTTGAAGCAGTGTTTGAGAATGGAGACCACATGTACAGTTATGTTGACCAATATATTGATTATCGTCCATGGCTCATCTGGTGGTAACTCCCTG